TAATACCTCGAATTCGATATCTACGTGTCCTACATTCAGATTTAAAGTTATTAATACACCTAGACACCAAAAACTAAGAAACGCACTATGTGGATTTCGTCATCGGCAACCTGGGACACGTAGACATCGAATTCGAGGTATTATTACATCTAGACACCGAAAACTACGGAGCGCGCTATCTGGACCTTGTCATCAGCAACCTGGGACACCTAGACATCAATTTCAAGATATTAATACACGTAGACACCGACAACTACGGAGCGCACTATGTGGACCTCGTCATCGGCAACCTGGGACACCTTATAGACATCGAATTCAAGGTATTAATACACGTAGACACCGAAAACTACGGAGCTCATTCTCTAGACATTGTCATCGGCAACCTGGGACACCTAGACATCGAATTCAACGTACGATTACACCTGTACACCGAAAACTATGAAGCGCACTATCTGGATCCCGTCATCGGAAACCTGGGACACGTGGACATCAAATTCAAGGTATTAATACACGTAGACACCAAAAACTACGGAGCGCATTATGTGGACCTCGTCATCGGCAACCTGGGACACCTAGACATCGAATTCAAATTACGATTACACCTGGACACCGAAAACTATGAAGCGCACTATCTGGATCCCGTCATCGGCAACCTGGGACACGTGGACATCGAATTCAAGGTATTAATACACGTAGACACCGAAAACTACGAAGCGCACTATGTGGACCTCGTCATCGGCAACCTGGGACACCTAGACATCGAATTCAACGTACGATTACACCTGGACACCGAAAACTATGAAGCGCACTATCTGGATCTTGTCATCGGCAACCTGGGACACGTGGACATCGAATTCAAGGTATTAATACACGTAGACACTGAAAACTACGGAGCGCACTATGTGGACCTCGTCATCGGCAACCTGGGACACGTAGACATCGAATTCAACGTATTATTACACCTGGACACCGAAAACTATGAAGCGCACTATCTGGATCTTGTCATCGGCAACTTGGGACATGTGGACATCGAATTCAAGGTATTAATACACGTAGACACCGAAAACTACGGAGCGCACTATGCGGATCTCGTCATCGGCAATCTGGGACACGTAGACATCGAATTCAACGTATTATTACACCTGGACACCGAAAACTATGAAGCGCACTATCTGGACCTCGTCATTGGCAACCTGGGATACTTAGACATCGAATTCAAGCTTGATTCATAAGAATCGACTTAAAAATTCCCTAGCGGCACTTTCTGCCAAGCGTAGAGAACCTTCTTTTCCGGCAGCGGTGGTAATACGATGTAAGGATACGAAATCTCTCCAGATAAACATGAAGGAATTGACTCAATATATATTTAGTGCGTTCGAAAATAGGTTCGGCTGGTGTTGGGAAAAATAATAAAGTTGGCAGTATTGAGAATTCCCAACACTGCGTTCGTTTTCTCCCAACTGGGAAAAGTTGGAGATTGATAAAATGGGGGCAACTAGTGCAGATATTTATTTGTATCGGTCTCAACGCCTTTTGTGAAACATAACCTACGATTCTGAAACGCATACGAAAATAACGCTGTGTGAACATTGATTAGTGTATACTGCTTAGATCGTAAATTATACACCAATCAGTGGACCGTGCAACGTTATTGACATATACGAAAATTTTTTATATGACTGAAAGAATCGAGTCTCTGGTCAGTATCGGTCTTTTTCTTGTCATATAATTTTGTACGTTGTTTTATTGCGTCTCCGGCTATCTCAACCACATCGATTAAATCTAAGGTAATCCTTCCTTTTCTTTCTTTATTTATAAAATAAAGTTTAACACATTACTTTTGTATATATTTTTAAGTCACATTCTCTTTATTTTGCAGGATACAAAAGAGGTCTACCGCAACTCACATTATTCTGCTGATGCAGATAATTCTCTGTACTCTGCGTATGTATTAACGCTGGTGGCAAAGCATAGAGTAAGTATTACG